AACATAATCTCAAACCTAAAAAATATAATGAGAAATTTGTGACGAGTGAAAATGGTAAGACATAAAATGATCGGAAAGCTTCTGGTCATTATCGGTTCGACTTGTCATTCTCACGCTCTTTCACTTGAGTTCATTTACCGGTTGAATTCCCCCAATTCGAGTTGGAAGAATTCAACTCAAGTTTCATTCAACAAGTTACAAATCAACCCTGGACAATTCATTAGAGTAAATGTATGTTCAATTCGTATTGGTCTCTAGTTTAATGTTATTGTATGCTTTAATGTTTTTGGATTATAGTATGCCTTTTAATCTCGGAGGCTAAATTGTGGTGTAAGTGTAAAATATTCAAATTTAGCGGTTTTGGGGCACAAGATATGGGCGCGTGAGGTTCTCAGGGTTTTTATGGTGAGATTTAAAGACTCTCTTATGGAAAGCTGTTTTATTTGTTAAAATACACAAAACTTTATGCAGACCAAATCGCGTGTGTCTTAACTAATTGTAAGGAATATACTACCAGTGGCACTCAATGAGGAAGTAGCCATTATTATTGCTAAAAGTTGCATATAGATGGCGTGATTGGTATCGATGGAATTCTTCATAGTTTTGCAAACGTTTTAAAAAACAAAACTGTGTTTTCAAAAATGTTTAATCAATTTTTAAAAAGTTATATATACATGTTAAAATAAAATAATGCGTTTAGAAAAGTAATTTTCATATATTTACTCATTTTGTTATTTTCCAGTACTTAATTACACTTTAATCAGTGCTAATATGGGGCTCAATGTTTTCAAAATGCTTTCATAGATGGCATTGTCGTCATTTGTATCGGCCTAATTAACTGTCTTTTTTATATTTTCCAATAATAAGCACTTAATATATTATTATTGTAAATTAAACATATAAAAAAATTTTAAGTAAATTAAAAATAGCCGAACAAGCAAGTAATACTATTTCCAATAATACTTATGTATGAAGTGTTGTCATATTAAAAATAAATACATTTTTTTTAATAATCGATAACAGGATTTTATTACAGCGCATTATTCGATGATGCTTTTAATGAGTCGTTGTGAACAGTAAATTTTCATTATTTTGTATTATAGCAGTGTTCCGTTTCAAAGAACGGAATATAGTAGTACATTACTAGTGTCGTTGGTTATTTACATTTGTACTGAAAAATCGATTATATAATAATTTAAAATATCGAGTACGAATCGTCTGTCTTCGAATACTGGCAACTGGTAAGATTAAAATAGTATTTAAAAAAAAGAGAGAAATCGACCCTAACTCGAATACCATAAAGTTGATTTTCCTTTCTCATTAATATCATAGCAGTTTGTTTTTAACTTGCGTATGACTCTGTGGTATGATGTTTAACGAGTATTGTTATTGTACGGTGCATACATTTCAAAAATTATATTTTAATGTAGGTACATACATTTCTTTCATACATTTCATACATGTCAAAAATTATCTTTTAATGTAGGTACACACATTTCTTTCATACATTTCATACATGTAAAAAATTATCTTTTAATGTAGGTACATACATTTCTTTCATACATCTCATACATTTAAAAAAATATATTTTAATGTAGGTACATACATTTCATACATGTCAAAAATTATCTTCTAATGTAGGTACATACATACATTTCTTTCATACATTTCATACATTTCAAAAATGAACTTTTTATGTAGGTACATACATTTCTTTCATACATCTCATACATTTCAAAAATTATATTTTAATGTAGGCACATACATTTCATACATGTCAAAAATTATCTTTTAATGTAGGTACATACATTTCACACATTTCAAAAATTTCATACAATACGTTTCTTTCATACATTTCAAAAATTATCTTTTAATGTAGGTACATAACACCCCATGTCAGACCCCTTGTATTTGGAAGAAACTTAAAAATAATGCCAAAAATATTAGATGAATATATTTTTAATACGAATATTGTTTTATTTTTGTTCATCAACTTTATCCCTCACTAACAATACTAGTAGTAGTACGTAACCTGGTTTATACCGCTAAAGATATTGAAAGATATACGAGTAATTCAGAATGTTATCAAGTTCAAAATAAGCACACATTACTTGCTTAGATAACAGAGTAATATTACTCGTAATAAAAACATTTGTAACACCCATATGTACGTATGTATAGTAAGTACTTACGCTGCGGCGCCGTGAGACTCGTCTACCTCATCTACTCATCTACGCGCGGTAACATACCGACCAATAGGAGCGCGCCTCTCGTGTTTCCAGAAAGTTCGCGACTAACGGACGATATAGTAGTAAGGCAATGAGTGTCCCAGTGACATCAGTATAATATTTTCTCGTAAAATTTTATTGTAATATACAAATATTACTCGTAATAAAAACATTTGTAACACCCATATGTACGTATGTATAGTAAGTACTTACGCTGCGGCGCCGTGAGACTCGTCTACCTCATCTACTCATCTACGCGCGGTAACCGCGCCGACCGACCAATAGGAGCGCGCCTCTCGTGTTTCCAGAAAGTTCGCGACTAACGGACGATATAGTAGTAAGGCAATGAGTGTCCCAGTGACATCAGTATAATATTTTCTCGTTAAATTTTATTGTAATATACACAATTTCGCACTAAATAACGTGTTACCCCGTTACACATTTCTAATAATGAAAAACCTAGACCGACCCTGTTCACTTAATCTTACAAGATCTGACTTTAAAAATTACGATATCCTCATATAGCCTTTCATTTCCCCTTTCAATACTTTTTCGCATTAAAAAGTAGCCTTTCTCAGGGTCTACATTATCTGTCTACCAAATTTCAATTAAATCAGTTCAGTAGTTTTGGCGTGAAAGCGAGACAAACAGACAGACTGAGTTACTTTAGCATTTATAATATTTGTAAGAATATCGCTATTAAAAATAGGGGTTGGTGAAAGACGGGTGAAAATTTAGGCGTGTATGTATTTTCAATGTAACATTATTAATAAATAAAAAATTGTCCATAATACAAAAAAATATTTTTTCGGGGTAGGCCACCCCTATGACTTAGGGGTATAAAAAATAGATAACAACCCTACCTCAGACCTGGCAAGTATACATATCAAATTTCATCAAAATGTGGGAGAAATATGGCAACTAACACTGTGATACAAAATTTATATATAAGATATAGCGGAATTCTCATTAGGTAAAAGAGGGGTACATCGTAGAATACATGAGGTATATACCAGTAAATTAATTGTAGCTAAAATCAGTCTCATACATATAACGATTGAAATAAAAAATCGTATAGCCCGATTTTTGATTTGATGTGCCAATGTACATAAGCCATATCTGCAGAGTGTCGGCTAACGATATTATACCTACACATTTACATTGAATCTTGAATCGTCCCTAATGAGGTACACGATACAGTTACCTACATATCTATTATATACATATCTTTGCAAAACAGATGTCATGTAGACTGAATTGACTGCCATCTATTTTCATGCTTTGTTACTAAGCACCCACTAGTAATCCGAACTGCTTCAGATCTAGCGACATCTAGCGGCTACGGTGGCGAAATAAAATAGCCCGAAGAATAACCCGAGTTAGGAAGGAACCATTTTCTTGTATGGGATGGGGTATCTGTATGTAATATTGCCATAAAAATCGGTAATAAATATTAGTTTCCGATAGTGTCACAACCCTAAAAACCGTAACAATAACAAGCTGGCAACATAGTTAAAGTGAAATTTGTCTCTGAAGCTTTTGAATATAGGTATCCTAGTCGTATTTTTAATTAGACGAAGCTAGCTGACAGTAGCTAATGTCACATTGTAAAATAATGTTGCCATATTTAAAGTAATAGTGATGCGTTCAGTTCTCAGTTAGATGAATGAACAATGAGTGTGAATAGTTAATCATTACAAACTACAAAAGAAAATTGTATAAAAGTGCTCTGATATAAGTTACTAGTAACTACAATCAGTTTTTTGACGGCTTATTACAAAGCGCGCGGCTACTAGTGCCAACACAAATCAACGTCGCGAGCGTCTGTCGCCATTTTGTTCGTAATTCGGCTTCTAACCTCTGGTCTGAGAGCACCAATGTTTTTTTTTGCGCTCACGCTGTTTTGTTAAGTTTTTCCTCATGTTGTGTTTGTGGTAATTGTTGGGTATATTGTATATTTACTATATTGTTTCATACAAATAATATGGATCCTCAACCAAGCACGTCAAGCCAAAGCTTGTCTCCAAGAAAGACGTTACCGAAAAACTTATGATACAAAACGTCTACAAATACGTATTTGAGAAAGCTGCTTCACTATTACCTATTGAGGCTCCCAAAAAAACAAATGTATTTCGAAAACAGCTGACATTTTGGGAATTGGTGTGACCTCAGTCTACAATGTATTAAAATAATACAAAGTGAACAATTTAAGTCTCCGGAGAAACGTGGAGCGAAACACTGTTTCAAAGATTATTTATTATCAATTTTTAGACAGATTTATAATTAATGTCACTGAAAGCGACAATGTTTTTTTTATCTGATGATGAATAAAAACAAATTTTGTAATAAGCGCAGTTTTTTATTTTTATTACCTAACTATATTATGTTATATATTGTTATATTTTGTACATGTATAGTTTCAATTACATTATGAATTGTAATTAGGACAGTCTTAAAAGTTTCCACGCAATTTTTTCTTTACGTTTAAAATACTCGGTATTCAGTATAGGTAGATACAATAGGAACATAATCGTCGTAAACTCGTTGGTATGTATAAAGCACGGCTAAAATTCAAACCCCGTACCCGATATCGGCAGTTCGGCACACTAACTATTCACTAGACAATCGAGGCAATTCCATTAATTCAGGAGTTTTTTCAATGATTCACTTTGTCACAACACTATTTTTATTTCATCAAATACTGACAACACAGTAAACGTCAGTTGACTTCGTGTAATTAAAAATATGACTATTTATATTATTATAGTATAATCTTTGCTCTGAATTAAAAAAACCCGTTATAAATAATTGTATACACTGACCACTGTCAAATTCCCTAAAATACACTAAATCCATTACTGGTTTTATTATTCTATCACAATATTATATATGAAGTGAAAAAGTCTGTTAGGTTGCCGAAATGCATTCAATCACCGACCACCACGACGCACAAGTAAAGGAGGAGCCTTGGTACTCAGTATCAGATGTAGCGGCAGTCAATATACGGGGAGACAATCTGCATGTTACTGGTGACACTAAACAACAGTCGCTTCCACTAGATGAGGAGTATCGGCAATACAATGAAGGTAGAAGTACTGAAGAGGAGCAGTGGACTGAAACAGAGGGTAATGGGCAGGACGTAGATAGAGTAGTGGTTGTAAAGACTGAGTATGTTGATGAAAACGAAGAACCAGCAGATGTTAATGATATATTTTGTGGTGAGGTAAATGATAATGTCCTAGAACTGTATGAGGATCATGAAATAAAAAACGAGATGGTTATAGGACCTACAGTTGTACAAGTGGAGTCTAGTAAATGCATGAAGCATGATATACAAAAATCAATACAACAGAAGAGAAGAGGACCATCTAACAGTAAACAAGTCCATATGTGTGATATATGCAGGAAGACATTCAAGGATCATAAAACACTAAAAGACCATGTGTTATTGAAAAACCATGTTGTTGAAAAGCCATATAGTTGCAATGTTTGTAACAAATGTTTTAAAAACAAGAACTATCTACCCAGACACATGTTGGTACATTCCAATGAAAAACCATACAGTTGTGATGTTTGTAACAAATGTTTTAGATACAAGGACTATCTAAGCACACACATGCAAATACATACCAATGAAAAACCATACAGTTGTGATGTTTGTAACAAATGTTTTAGAACCAAGAACTATCTAACCAAACACATGCAAATACATTCCAAAGAAAAACCATATAGTTGTGATGTTTGTAACAAAGGTTTTAGAATTAAGATAAAATTAATCAGGCACATGCGTGTACATACCAATGAAAAACCATACAGTTGTGATGTTTGTAACAAATGTTTTAGATACAAGGACTATCTAAGCACACACATGCAAATACATACCAATGAAAAACCATATAATTGTGGTGTTTGTAACAAATATTTTAAACTGAAGAATACTTTGAAACAACACATGTTTGTACATACCAATGAAAAACCATATAGTTGCGATGTTTGTAACAAAGGTTTTAGAACCAAGAACTATCTAACCAAACACATGCAAATACATTCCAAAGAAAAACCATATAGTTGTGATGTTTGTAACAAAGGTTTTAGAATTAAGATAAAATTAATCAGGCACATGCGTGTACATACCAATGAAAAACCATACAGTTGTGATGTTTGTAACAAATGTTTTAGATACAAGGACTATCTAAGCACACACATGCAAATACATACCAATGAAAAACCATATAATTGTGGTGTTTGTAACAAATATTTTAAACTGAAGAATACTTTGAAACAACACATGTTTGTACATACCAATGAAAAACCATATAGTTGCGATGTTTGTAACAAAGGTTTTAGAATTAAGATAAATTTAATCAGGCACATGCGTGTACATACCAATGAAAAACCATACAGTTGTGATGTTTGTAACAAATGTTTTAGATACAAGGACTATCTAAGCATACACATGCAAATACATACCAATGAAAAACCATATAATTGTGGTGTTTGTAACAAATGTTTTAAACTGAAGAATAATTTGAAACAACACATGTTTGTACATACCAATGAAATACCATATAGTTGCGATGTTTGTAACAAAGGTTTTAGAATTCCGATAAATTTAATCAGGCACATGCTTGTACATACCAATGAAAAACCATACAGTTGTGATGTTTGTAACAAATGTTTTAGATACAAGGACTATCTAAGCACACACATGCAAATACATACCAATGAAAAACCATATAATTGTGGTGTTTGTAACAAATATTTTCGAATAAAGGGTCGTTTAACCACACACATGCTTGTACATTCCAATGAAAAACCATACAGTTGTGATGTTTGTAACAAATGTTTTAGAACCAAGAACTATCTAACCAAACACATGCAAATACATTCCAAAGAAAAACCATATAGTTGTGATGTTTGTAACAAATGTTTTAAAGTGAAGAGTAATTTAAACACACACTTGCTTGTACATTCAAATGAAAAGCCATACAGTTGTGATGTTTGTAACAAATATTTTGTAACGAAGAGATGTTTAACCAGGCACATGCTTGTACATAGCAATGAGAAACCATACAGTTGTGATGTTTGTAACAAATGTTTTAGAAAAAGGAACTATTTAAGCAGACACATGCAAATACATTCCAAAGAAAAACCAATGAAAAGCCACATAGGTGTGAGGTTTGTAACAAACATTTTGAAATTAAGAGCAATTTAACCAGGCATATGCTTGTACAGACCAATGAAAAGCCACATAGGTGTGAGGTTTGTAACAAACATTTTGAAGTTAAGAACAATTTAACCAGGTACTTGCTTGTACAGACCAATGAAAAGCCACATAGGTGTGAGGTTTGTAACAAACATTTTGAAGTTAAGAACAATTTAACCAGGTACTTGCTTGTACAGACCAATGAAAAGCCACATAGGTGTGAGGTTTGTAACAAACATTTTGAAGTTAAGAACAATTTAACCAGGTACTTGCTTGTACATACCAATGAAAAGCCATATAGTTGTAATGTTTGTAACAAATCTTTCAGAAACAAGGGCTATCTAACCAGACACATGGGGGTGGAAAGGGATTGTTAGTAATGTGGATTGATAACCCCATTGCTAGCAATGTACCATGTCAGGTTGACCTCCACGCGGTTCCCCCTGGAAACCATCGTGATAAATTGTCAAATTCAATTGTGTGGTAAATTTGTCACGATGGAACTGACCTGACCTCATATTCATCTTATCATCCTCCACTGGTGTCCCGCCAGCGTAAACCGTTAGCGCAGGCGTGTGAGCCATTCCATTATCATCCATAAAAATAACCAGACACATGGGGGGGGAAGGGGATTGTAAGTAATATGGTCTCATGACCCTATTACTGGCAATGTACTATGTCAGGTTGACCTCCACACGGTTCCCCCTGGAAACCATCGTGATAAATTCATGGCGAATTTACCACGATGGGCTAATTGACCTGACCTCATGCTCATCTTGTCATCCTCCACTGGTGCCCCGCCAGCGTAAACCGTTAGCGCAGGCGGGTGCTCCATTCCACTATCATTCACAAAAAAAAAAAAACCAGACACATGGGTATACATTCCGATGAAAAGCCATATGTTTGTGATGTTTGTAACAAATATTTTAAAATCAAGATCGGTTTAACCAGACATATAATTTTACATACCAATGAATAGCCGTATAGTTGTGATATTTGTAACAAATGTTTTAGAATGAATAAAAGTTTAACCAGGCACATGTTGTATCACCATTAAGAAAATTGCAGTATTAATTTGTATATGTTATTTTACTGATCTGACTGACTGAAAGTTTGTATATGTTATTTTACTGATCTGTGTATTTGTGATTTTGTACACAAGATGTATGTACCTGTAAAATTATACCTTTGTCCTGCAATTGTGCATCTATTCACTTCAAAAATTGAAAATCTGTCGTGTTTTGTGCAATCGACCTTCGTGCACACTGCTATATAGAATTTGGATTACATTTGAAGTGTTTATAACGTTTTGTCATTGTGAAATGCGCAATATCTATTTAGATGTCTCCAGGAGTTCAAGCCCAATATATTGCGAGTAACAAGCCTAGGATGTTATTAATCAGTCAGCGAATTTACAAAATATTTCTGAACCAGCGCGACCTTGCTGTACCATGTGGTGGTGAAAATTTATTTTCTATAGTTTACTGCAATTTCTCAACATGCTTTTATATTCCAATGAAATACAATATAATTTTGATTTTTGTAACAAACGTTTTATAATCTATATAAAATTTGGTATTGAAAAGAGAAATTTGAAAATGGACAGTTCTGTATATTCTCATTGAAAAAAGCATAATGGAACATAGAAAAAATATTCTTTATTACCTAATAAAACTTTTGAATAGTCATATTTTTATTGTACCACCATTTGGAAAACAGACTTATCACAATTGGACATCATAATGTTTTCTTTATCAAGGGAATTTTGGCTATTCCTCAGTGTTTTAGATCTGTAGCATCTACATAGATATATTGCATTGGCCTTTTTTTTAGAGTCTGCTGCATAGTCCCGTCAGGGACAAGAAGGATATTAGTTGGAGCAATGGTTTTTAGCTTCATATGAGTAAAATTTGTACATTATTTGTGGAACGTAGTGGCAATTACTGAATAATCATTACTGTAGTTAGAAAGTGGAAAAGCAAAAGCTAGAAGAGTTTTTAATGGGTACAGTAACTCCACCATTCCCATCAGATCTGTCTTCTCTAAGGCAGCATAACCTGGAATCTTAAAACACATATGATTTAACTCAGCTTTCAGTAACAGTGTCAATAAATGGATTGTATATATTTACAAATAAATAAGAAAATGTTTTTTATTTATTGTACTACAATAATTCCACTGAATTAATTTGCCTTTTTAAGCCAGGGCAGCTGGGAATTTTAACTATGAAATCTATTAAAGAGGCAGCATTGGACGGTAAACTTAAATTGTTAGCGGTTAATAACTGTATAAGACTGGGGGGAAGGGGATGGTTAGTAATGTGGACTGCTGATCTTATTGCTAGCAATGTACCACGTCAGGTTGACCTCCACGTGGCTCCCCCTGGAAACCATCGTGATGAATTCTAGGTGAATTTGTCACGATGGGCTAACTGATTTGATTTATTGTTCATCCTATCATCCTCCACTGGTGCCCCGCCCGCGTAAACCGTTAAGCGTTACTGTTACCGTTAGCGCAGGCAGGTGCACCATTACATTATCATCTTTTAAAAACTGTATAAGACTAAATATAATATCTTTAGTAGACATTTCATATATTATTAAATATGGGACTGCTAGGTAGTACGAATATTGTAGTCCTTGTGCAATTTTATTCTATCCCTTTGTTGTTTTTCGAGTAGTCTATGGTTTCAGAAATACAGTTTTCTTATATGATGATGTAGTTGGTAAATAATAATTAGTCTGAATTAGAAAACTAGAGTTATTGCAGTTTATGGATTGAGAAGGGAGTTTTAACAATGTCTACATAAGGTTTTCTTACTGGTGAATTTAATTTTGCTGCCTATACATATGAAATACAGTTTTCAGGCATGGATCTCCCTCAGGATCGTCAGTCCCCATACCGACTAACTACCTATAGAATTATTATAACAACGACTTACCGATAATTACAGGTTAATATAAATATATATATACATAAAAATAATTTTGAATACTACAAATACACAATTTATACTTGGCTGATCAAGAAAGGTTGAAAATACTGTTGGCCTGTTTGAGATTTCCCGCGTTCCTCCTTGAATGGCACAGAGTACAATATAATATTCACAAATGTCAAAGCCCATTGGGTGCCATCTGCAAAAATGGCGGCCAATTCAAACTATTTAATTACTTACGTTGCTGTAACCTTTCGAATGTTTGTCGTCTGTCGCAGCGACCGAGAGTAAAGAGGCGTTATTCGCGCGCCAGTTGTATTTTTTCAAATGCGTTTCCATCTTATTTTGCTTCAAATAAGGATAAAATTAGTTAATAAGCAATCACTGTTTTACGGGCACAGATCTTTAACAATGTGCTAACACGGTTTAAGAGGGATGCACAGATTTATGTCAAAACGTTCCAAGGGTTAAGTTGCGTCAAACACTATCAAATTTCAGAAAACTGATATTTGGAGAGTAAAAATGTAATTTTCTTGTTTATTTTTTTTTATTTCGTTTAGGTCAACAAATACTGTGTCCAATGAAAATTACTTACTTCATCGTATAATAAATATTTAAACATATACACACATATATATATATATCGCCACAGATTAGTGATCTGTCAGAGACTATTGCGGTGTGACACCTATGGTGAGTGTTGCCTAGCAATAGTTGTTGACTGTCGTTAATTATAAAATGTAAAATTCATAGATGTTATAAATATTGTGAACTATTAGGGATTGTAGTATATGTATATAGTCTTAAGTATTATCTATGTCTAAGATATAATCATATAGTATAAATATAGTCTATGATTTTTGTAACGTACTCTGTGCAGTTGAGGAGTCTGTGTTGTAAAAATGGCGGGAACGCCCTAATTAAATATGAAAAGCAAAATTATTTATTTTAATATTTAAATACAGTACAAATTTATTTAAGCTATGTGATATTGTGCATTAACTAGTGTGTGATTTGGTTAAGACTTCTCGTAAGTGACATCTACTGCAACATTTGCATTTATTTGATAAACAACCAACAATTGAAGAGCAACTAGCTGTTCAGGATTCAAGGTACGAATATCTTTAAGAGGCCTATTACAAAATGATGCCGCTCAACTTTAGGTATAATCGCATGGATTTACGCACACATACAGTAATACACGCACACAGACGCAAATAACCGTGTAGCTCAATCGGTGTGGATTTAGTATGAACCATTTTGATCCTCGTAATATTTTAATTAATAATGTGATATGTTTCTACTTAACTAAGTAACATAAACTACTTATATATATACGTATTTTTTTAAATAACGTGATTTATCTTAATTATCAAAGTGCTAATAATGACCATATTTTTTTATTATATTATTCCTAGAGGGTTGATGTCAGGATGCTGGCCGATTGTACAACTAAAACCCAAAACCTTAAGTAATATGAGTAACAAATAATTGGGACAGGAAGACGAAATTACTATAACATAAACTTACTAATTAATTCTTCTTACGTATTAATTCAGTTTATTTATTAATAGATACAATATAATTTATTATAAGAGTCGGATACATTATTGCCATATTCACTTGTTCTAAATATTATACTTAGCAAATAATTATTTTATTTATATATAATAGTTGTGTTTTCAAGGCTTTGTTTTGATTTAAAGGTCCCATCCTTATATGTATATTAGGTGTGTCCGCGACTTCGTCAGCGTGGTATAATGAAATTGACCAAATAAAGGAAATATATTTAGATTATAACCTAAAAAAGTTTCTTTGTTTCACTTAAACAATGACGATACTTTAAAACAACCTTTCATCTCCGCTTTTAATCCCTTACAATACTTTTTTCGCACTATAAAGTAGTCTATGACCTTTCTCAGGGTATACTATCTGTGTATATGTATATCTATCTATATAGACTACCTGTGTATATATATGGTAGTGAATTTACAAGGTACAGGGGAATAACACCCGAGTTTTCAGGAATGGCAACGCATGAGGGAAACAATGTGCTGATATGAACATGTCAGGTACTGCTCATGTATATAGGCTACGGTTACCCCTTTCCATCAGGAGAGCCGTCAGCTTGTTTGCCATTCTAAGTTGTAAAAAAAAAGCTTCAACTGCTATCA